GAACGACTCACGAAACGACTCACACGAGGGGCCCCAACGACTCCCACCAGTCGTCGTCGTCGTCGTCGTCGTCGTCGTCGTCGTCGTCGTCGTCGTCGTCGTCGTCGTCGTCGTCGAAGCCGCCGCCTTCGACGTCGTCGTCGTCGACGTCGTCGTCGTCGTCGTCGTCGCGGTTGTGGTCGTCGTCGTCGTCGCGGTCGATATCGTCGTCGTCGTCGGGTGCGTCGTCGTTGTTAGGCTCATCGCTGTGGTCGTCGTCTCCGCTAAATCCCTCTTGCCTCCCACCGCTTTCTCTCCCTCCTCCTCCGCCTCGTCCTTCTCCCGCTCCCACCACAAGGAGGATGTACAAGGAGGCGGGAGGAAAGAGGAACAGGGGAGATATGCGGGGGCAGGCGGAAACACGCCTGAAAAACACGACTGTCGGCATGCTTCGCCAGAGTTGCTGTTTTGAGATGGGCTGGTGGGGATACGCGAAGCGTGAAGAATATAAGAATGTCAATAGTTTGAGAATGACTGCCTCCGAAAACTCGTGACGCTGGGCGTGGCCGCCGCAAGGAGCTTCCCCGGGACGCCCCGACGGCATCGCCCGCGCGCCGCGACGCCAATGTCGGCGCGCCCCCCCGCGAGGATCGCGCCCGCTTCCTCCCCTTCTTTTACTCCCTCTTTGCCCGCGCACTCAAAAGTCCAAGGCTGCGGGCGCAGCGCAGCGCGGAGTCCCCGCGACGCGCGCAGGTCGCCCCGGAGGGGTCCCAGCGACGCGCGCGGTTCGCCCGCTACGCGGAGCAAAGAGAGCTAGCTGGCTGGCTGATAGCGGGCAAGGCTCTTGCCGCTGGGCAGAGCGACGACGGGCGAACGAGGCGCTGGGCAGAACGTCCACGAAACGTGTGAGGGGTGGGCCGAAATGAATGGCGGGGACGCATGCGGACTGTGCCAATGGACCTTCGGCGGAGCTCCTATGGGGCCACGAAACGTGTGAGGCGTGGGCCGATATGAGTGGCGGGGACGCATGCGGACTGTGCCACGGGGACCTTCCGCGAAGCTCCTATGGGACCACGAAACGTATGAGGCGTGGGCCGAAATGAATGGCGGGGACGCATGCGGACTGTGCTACTGGGACCTTCGGCGGAGCTCCTGTGGGGCCACGAAACGTGTGAGGGGTGGACCGACATGAATGGCGGGGACGCATGCGGACTGTGCCACGGAGACCTTCGGCGGAGCTCCTATGGGGCCACGAAACGTGGAGGCGTGGGCCGAAATGAGTGGCGGGGACGCATGCGGACTGTGCCACTGGGACCGTCGGCGGAGCTCCTATGGGGCCACGAAACGTATGAGGCGTGGGCCGAAATGAGTGGCGGGGACGCATGCGGACTGTGCCACTGGGACCTTCGGCGGAGCTCCTATGGGGCCACGAAACGTGTGAGGGGTGGGCCGAAATTAATGGCGGGGACGCATGCGGACTGCGCCATCCTCCGGCGGAGCCCCTTATGGGGCCACGAAACGCTGTACTGGGTGGGGGAGACGCAGGCGGACTGCGCCACGGGGACCTTCCGTGGCGCTCCCAGTGGGGCCACGAAACGCTTGGGGGAACGCATGCCAACCGCGCCATTGGGACCCTCGGTGGAACTCTCTATGGGGCAACGAAACGTATGATGATGTTGATGATGTTGATGTTGATGATGATGACGACGATGATGACGAGAATGATGATGATGATGATGATGATGATGATGATGATGATGAGAGGAGGGGAGGAGGGACGAGAACGGAGGAAACGTGGGGCGCTGTCTCTTCAAAACGAGGATCCAACACCACAGGATGGTTGGGGAAAAAATGTACGCGCGCCGTCGCGCGCGCATGCCGGAACCGTTCCACAACCCGAAGTCCCGTAAGGATTTCAAGACCGAAGCTCCCGACAACGTAAAACAATATACACCTGAATGTGAAACATGGCTCTTCAAAAAAGTCTGCGCGCGCGTTCTTGCGAATCGTTGTGGGAACCAACATATGCTCGACATGTTCATCAGATGCGATCACACGGGTTTCTCGCGCACGCTTGTCGAAATCATTGGGGCACCTTTGCGCGCGTTTTGGGAGAGGTCCGATCTTTATCGCAAGACACCAGGCGGGCCTCTCGCGCGCGTCGGTCGCGCGCGCATGTCGAAATCCTTCCAAAACACCCATCACCGACACGTGGACACCATCATCGTCACCAGCGTGATCACCATCGGCGTCGTCATTGGCCTTGCCGTCGTAGTCGTCACCATCGCCAGCAGCATCGCTACTATCATCAGCATGTCTGCCATTGTCGACGTCGGCATGATGCCACGCCCTGCCGCGTCACCAACTCGCTGTGAAATTCCCTCGCGTCCGCGCGGCCTGCGGGACGCGCTCCGAACTCCCCAGCGGTCAGCACCATCGCGGCCGCGTCTGTCGTGCCAGAGCAGCTTGCCGCTATGCGCGCGAGCCAGGGCGCGCTAGCGCGGACACCGCGATGCGCCAGCCAGCAGAAAGCAGTCATGGCAATCGCCGCCGCATGACTTGTGCAAACCAAGTTGCGGGTGGGTGGGTGAAGTGATTGCGCGAGCAGTGGAGTTGGCAACCCACTGCGAACAGGAACTAAGTGCATCACATCGATTGCACCACAAAAATTATACCCTCAGACACTGCACAGCAGATATTGCACAAAGAAGTTGCAGCACTAAGATTGCATCACATAGGTGGCACAACACAAATTGCACAACATGGTTTGTACTACATATCTGGAAACAAATAAATGTCACCACATAGCTTGCTCCGCAGCAACTGCGCCACATGTGTTGCACCACACAGGCCGCACCGCGTAGACTGCACCACCTATATTGCACCGAATAGACTGAAACCACATAGACTTCTAGAAACACGCTGGCTATCTCGCCCACATCCCCGACGTGTGCCCTCAGCATGATGCACACGGGCGACACGTCGAGCCCGGGCGGGGTGCCACACCCCACCAGATTGCGCACGGCAAGCGCCTGCACGATGCCTGATGGCCACCGTGCGCGCCCCGAGGCGGCGTCTGCCGGCGACGGAGGCCACACCAGACGGGCGGCTCGTCGCCAGGCAGGACGTCAACGAGCAGCCAAAGTGCGCGCTGCGCGCGGGGCCGTCGGGGCGCGGGCACGGGCGGGACCGCACCTCGTCACCTCGACATTTGAGCCACACGAGCCAGGAACAGGAGGACGGAGGAGCGACCCGCGTTCAGGAGGGGAGGAAGGAGGAACCACCCCACATCTGCGCGGCGCGCGCGGGGCGGGCCTGCGGCAGGAAGACGGAGGAGGAGGAGGAGAAAGAGGAGGAGCAGGAGCAGGAGGTGAGGAAGGAAGGGGTGAGAAAGGAGCGGGACAAGGGGACGCAAGGAAGGGGGAACAGGAGGACGAAGGGGGGGAGAAGGGAAATCGGGGGAGAGGAGCGTATTGAGGCGGGTGGGAAGCAGGGCGGGGCGAGTCCCCAGGAAGCTCCCGGACCCGAGGCCCTGGCCTTCTCATCCTCCAGCTGGGCGACCAGCGCCTGTCGGCCGACACAAGGAGACTCAACGCCAGAAAGTCTGACATCCTCCTCCTCCTCCTCCTGCTCCTGCTCCTCCTCCTCCTGCTCCTCCGCCTCCACCTCCTCCTCCTCCTCCTCCTCCTCCTCCCCCTCATCATCATCATAATCATCATCAGCATCATCATCACATCATCATCCAGCTCACTGGTCCTCCTCCTCCTCCTCTGCTCCTCCTCGTGCTCCTCCTCCTCCTCTACTCCTACTTCCTATCCTCCTCGTCCCTCCCCGCATCCTCCTCCTCTCCTCCTACGAACACTACTACTACTTACTACTACTAACTACTACTACCACTACTACCACTAACTACTACTACTTTATGCTACTACTACTACTACTACTAGCTACTACTACGACCACCACTACTACTACTACTACGACTCTACTACTACGACTATACTTGACTACGACTACTACTACTACTACTACTACTATATACTACTTACTTTACTACTACTACTTTATCTACTACGACCACCACTACTACTACTACTACTACTACTACTACTACTACTACTACTAAACTACTACTACTACTACTATACTTACTACTATACTACGACTACTTACTACTACTACTACTACTACTACTACTACTACTACTACTACTACTACTACTACTACTACTACTACTACTACTACTACTACTACTACTACTACTACTACTACTACTACTACTACTACTACTCCTACTCCTACTCCTATCCTTATTCCTTATTAGAATATACTCCTACTCCCCCCTCGAGAAGAGGCTGATCTGGAACCGGAGCCGGTCGCGCCGGTCGCGCCGGTCGCGCCGGTTGCGCCGGTCGCGCCGGTCGCGCCGGTCGCGCCGGTCGCGCCGGTCGCGCCGGTTGCGCCGGCTGCGCCGGTCGCGCCGGTTGCGCCGGTCGCGCCGGTCGCGCCGGTCGCGCCGGTCGCGCCGGTCGCGCCGGCTGCGCCAGCTGCGCCGGTCGCGCCGGTTGCGCCGGTTGCGCCGGTCGCGCCGGTCGCGCCGGTCGCGCTGGTTGCGCCGGCTGCGCCGGCTGCGCCAGCGGCGCCGGCTGCGCCAGCGGCGCGTCGATTGTGATATCAACACAGACATCACAGTCGTCATGTCGCTCTCCCGTCGTGTCCCGTGGGTGGTGTCATGATCTCGTGGCGTGGCGTGGCGTGGTGTGGGGTACGGTGTGATGTGGCGTGATGTTGTGTGGCGTGGTGTGTGGTGTGGTGTGTGCGTGTGTGTGGTGTGGTGTGGTGTGTTGTGGTGTGTGTGTGTGTGCGTGTGTGTGTGCGGTGCGGTGTGGTGCGGTGCGGTGCGGTGCGGTGCGGCGTGGTGTAGTGTGTAAGTGAGGTCGGTTGCGACACCATCACAGAGATCGCACTTGCCATGTAGGTGCCCCATGGGAGGTGTCATGAGGACGTGATGTCGTGATGTCGTGCCTTTCTGCGGGGGGGATGCCCGGGCAGACTCCTGCCGGCCTTAGTCAAAATGAAGAACACGAGAGGCCGCGGGGGCAGGAATGGAGGAGGGGGAAAGGAGGGCCGAGAGCGAGGATACCACATCAGGAGCAACCTTTTTGACATCGGATCTCGAATGTGTGCGTCGCGAGCTACGCCTCGTAGTCGCCGACGCATCGCCGGGCCGGCCCGTCGGCTGCGCCGGCGCGCACCGCCGCGGGAGGAGCAAGAGGAAACGATGCGGTACTGCGTGCGGAAGTCGCATGCAGAAGGCGCTGGAAAAGTCCCCGGCCGCACCCCGCCCTGCAGCGGATGGCGCGCGGAAGCGTCGAGTAAACAGAAAAACTGCGTCAGCAGCCCGGGTGTGCGTGCAACCCCGGGTGCCTTTCTGCGAACGCAGCGGCGGGGAAAACGACATGCTTGAGCAGCTCGGGCGTGCGTGTAATCCCGAGTGCCTTTCTGCGGGAGCATGCCCGTGGAGACTTCTGCCGGCCCTCGTCAAAATTAAACGCGAGAGGCCGCGGGGGCAGGAATGGAGGAGGGGGAAAGGAGGGCCGAGAGCGAGGAAACCACATTAGGAGCAACCTTTTTGACATCGGATCTCGAATGTGTGCGTCGCGAGCTACGCCTCGTAGTCGCCGACGCCTCGTAGTCGCCGACTCGAAGATAGAACAAGAAGGAGAGAGGTAAATCAACGTACACCTCACAACAATGCCGTGACCCCCCAACATATCGTGGCCAACGATTGTGAAAACCGCTCTTACCAATCTCATCAGGGCGAGGCATGCAAGATATTTGAGGCACCAGACGGTATCGATACCGATGCTTCATGGCCCTCTCCTGGGGTGCCTTCTGACCAGACTCCCGAGGCGAATCCAGCGGTGGCGACGAGGGCCTCCCAGGAGGCCCAACGAGGCGCAAACGAGGCAAGGGTAGCGGTATGTGTGTCTGGAGAACCTGGGGCGGATCGGGAAAGGAGACGCTGCCATGAGCTCTCGGTGGCACGGAGGGCGTGGCCCTGCAGGTAGGGGTGACCTTTGGTGTGCAGCTTGGGGGGGGGGCTGCGGGGGAGGGAGGGGGCCAGATCCAAGCGCGTGGGCCAGTGCCTGAGGGAGCCCTGGTGGGCCCGCACCAAAGGTCAATTTGGCGAAGGGTCGCTCTCACGCGCAGCTGAATCTTGGTCCTGCAGGATCTGCCTCGTGGCAGCCCAACGCGCTGGGACAGCGCAGTAGAACATGATCGACCCACGAACCCGGAAAGGAATATAGAAATGTAAGGCATTGTAACATTTCAAAGACACCTGATTGGGCGACGGGCACATGCAATGCTAAATGTATCGATGATGATGTACTGTGCCGAGGGCTGTGCTGTGCTACGCCGTGCTGAACTGCGATGTGCCATGCCGCGATTGTTTTCTATATAGCGTTGTGGATCGAGTCCTCCCTGGCATCCGAGTCCTCACCGAACTGATCTGGAGCGTAAGCTCGAGCTGCTCAGGATGGTAGCTGCCCCAGAATTAATCGACAGAGGGAACATGCCAAGAGGACGCGCCGCGGAACGTCCCAAGGGACGCGCCAGGCGACGTGCCAGGGGACGTGCCATGGGGACGCACCGTGGGACGTGCCAAGGGGACGCGCTACGGAACGTGCCAATGGACGTGCCGAGGGACGTGCCATGGGACGCGCCGCGCGACGTGCCAGGTGGACTCGCCACGGAACGCGCCAAGGAACGTGCCAAAGTGTATAGTTGAGTGTATCGATATTGATGTACCGTGCCGACGGCTGTGCTGTGCTGGGCCGTGCTGAACTGCGATGCGTCATGCCGCGATTGTGCTCTCTCTCTCTCTCTCGTGCCAAAGTGTATAGTTGAGTGTATCGATATTGATGTACCGTGCCGACGGCTGTGCTGTGCTGGGCCGTGCTGAACTGCGATGCGTCATGCCGCGATTGTGCTCTCTCTCTCTCTCTCTCTCTATAGATATAGATATAGCGTTGTGGATCGAGTCCTCCCTGGCATCCGAGTCCTCACCGAACTGATCTGGATCGTAAGCTCGAGCTGCCTGAGCAGATGGTAGCTGCCCCAGAACTAATCGACAGAGGGAACATGCCAAGAGGACGCGCCGCGGAACGTCCCAAGGGACGCGCCAGGGGACGTGCCAGGGGACGTGCCATGGGCACGCACCGTGGGACGTGCCAAGGGGACGCGCTACGGAACGTGCCAATGGACGTGCACCGCGCGACGTGCCAGGGGGACTCGCCACGGGACGCTCCGCGGAACGTGCCAAGCAACATGCCAGGCTGCAATGCTAAAGGTATCGATATTGATGTACCGTGCCGAGGGCTGTGCTGTGCCTGGGCGACCTGGACACGTGAAAACACGCGTTTCGCTCAAGACGTTGTCAGCACATCCTCATGCTAGACATCCGCTTGGGCAACCTGGACACGTGCAAACAAAGCGTCTCGCTCGAGACATCCTCAACAAATGCTCATGTTAGACATCCGCCTGGGCGACCTGGACACGTGAAAACAAGCCTCTGGTTCGAGACATCCTCAACAAATCCTCATGCTAGACATCTGTCTGGGCCACCTGGAGGCGTGAAACCAAGCGTCTCGCTCGAGGCATCCTCAAGACCAGGGCACGAATCCACTTGAGAGATCCTCAGAATTCAGGCCCCCAGGAGAGGACAATCTATAACACAAAACAAGCGTTTCGCTCGAGACATCCTCAACAAATTCTGAAAAACAAGCGTTTCGCTCGAGACATCCTCAAATCCCACCAGCCCTTTGGGCGTGAGTGGTTCAGCGAGCTCTCTCTGTCCTCAACCCCCCTTCTTCCCCTTCGGGGAGGGGTTTACCCCTCCCCCTACCCCCTCCCCCTGGGCCTGGAGGGGGTGTTCCGCGGGTCGCCGGGGGGGTCTTTTTCGACTCCTCGGAGGGCTAAAAAACGACACCCCTCACGAGGATTCTGGCCCCGACGGGGGGACGGAGATAAGGTACCCTCCTCTTCCTTGAAGCCAAAAACATTGATTTTACTACGGTTTTGGCTCCATTTGGCCCTTCTGAGGGGGCAGCGCTCATGCAAGCTCCCCCCTCCCGTCAAGGCAATATTATTGATTTTACTAAGGTTTTGGGCTCATTTTGCCCTTCCGAGGGAGCAGCGCTCATTAAAGCTCCCCTCTTCTTGGATCCATGCCCTCCAAGATGGCCCCCCGAAGCGCCCAGGAGGCACCAAGAGGCCCCAAGATGGCCCCAAGAGGCCCCCCGGAGGCCCCCAACCGGGCGCGCCGGGCGCGCCGGTCGCGCCGGTCGCGCCGGTCGTGCTGATCGTGCCGGTCGCGCCGGTCGCGCCGGTGCCGGTCGCGCCGGTCGAGCCGGTTGTGCCGGTCGCGCCGGTCGCGCCGGTCGCGCGGGTGCGCCGGTCGCGCCGGTCGCGCCGGTCGCGCCGGTCGCCGGTGCCGGTCGCGCCGGTCGCGCCGGTCGCGCCGGTGCCGGTCGCGCCGGTTGCGCCGGTCGCGCCGGTCGCGCCGGTCGCAATCGCGCTGGTCGCGCCGGTGCCGGTCGCGCCGGTCGCGCCGGTCGCGCCGGTTGGTTCTAGTTCGGTCCCCTTTGCCCCCCTCAGGCCGGCAGATAGGGGCCCCATCCGGGCGGTCCCATCCTAACCTGTAAAAAACAATACAAAATCAACATGTTTCTTATTTTTCCCTCTCGACATGGACGTCCTGTCGTCCACGGCGATAATCCATTGCAAAAAATACCACAAAGAGCACACGCGCGCGTTCATGTCAGAATCCTACCGAACACCGTGTGTTTGCAAGCATTTCAACATAAAAACATCAAAAACCCAATGTTTTTTCACAAAAATTGTACAAATTTCCCTGCCCGGGCTCTCTTGCTGAAATCATAGGAAAACCATAGGAATCTTAAGAATTCGGTCAAATCCAGCGATTTCACGTCATCGCGCGGTGCACTCGCGATGCTCTGTCATGCACCCAGGCCGCGAATCCTGTGCAAAAAATACCACGCGGGCGACATGCGCGCGCGTCGCCGCGAGCGCATGCTCAAATCCTTCTAGAGTCGTCGCCGTCATTGGCACCGTCGCATGGACGTCCTGTCGTCCACGTCGCAAAATGCATGGCAGGAATGGGACGCGGCGCACACCCCGCGCCCGCCCATCCAATCCGTCCCATTCTAATCTGCAAAAGACAATACACAGTTTTTGTTTTTCTTGTCAACATGGTCGTGCTGTCGTCACGTCGCAAAATGCGTGGCAGGAATGGGACGCGGCGCACACCCCGCGCGAAGGGGTGACATGTCGCTTTCGCCTCGGCGCCGCGCACCAACGTTTTTCCTCTCAGCATGGACGGTGTGACTTCGGCCCCCAGTTGTGCCAGCTTTGCTTCTTATGTTGTGGGAGGGCGGGTGGGACTGGGCATGCCATGCTTGACTCGCTCGAGCTGGCTAGCTTGACTCCTACTCCTACTCCTACCTACTCCTACTCCTACTCCTACTACTACTACTACTACTACTACTACTACTACTACACTAACCACTACGACTACGACTACGACTACGACGACTACTACGACTACGACTACGACTACGACTACGACTACTACTACGACTACTACTACTACTACTACTACTACTACTACTACTACTACTACTACTACTACTACTACTACTACTACTACTACTACTACTACTACTACTACTACTACTACTACTACTACTACTACTACTACTACTACTACTACTACGACTACGACTACGACTACTACTACTACTACTACTACTACTACTACTACTACTACTACTGATACTACTGCTACTACTACGACTACGACGACGACGACGACTACTACTACTACTACTACTACTGCTGCGGCTGCTGCTGCTACTACTACTACTACTACTACGACCACTACTACTACTACTACTACTACTACTACTACTACTACTACTACTACTACTACCACTACTACCACTACTACGACTACGACTACGACTACGACTACTACTACTACTACTACTACTACTACTACTACTACTACTACTACTACTAGTACTACTACTACTACTACTACTACTACTACTACTACTACTTATCCTCTTCCTTCCTTCCCTACCACACTCATTCGTGTTCCCTGGCCCTCCCCTAATCACCTACCCTACCTCTGAGTACCCCGCGCCTTGCTCCCCATCCTCTTTCAGAACACGCTGGGAACATTCCTGCTACCATCCTGGATATGTGCCTCCTCCTCCTTACAGAGGGGATGCCGACGATGAGGCAGCACAAACGTCTGACCTCGTGTGATTTCACCCGCACGGTCGCAAGTGCTGCCGCTTCGAGCCCCCTGCATGGCGCGCCCCAGCTAGGCGAGAAATGGATGTAGATCCCTGCGACGGGAAAAATCAGTGTATGCTGACATGGCCACACATGCTCTCAGTTGCTTCCCCATGTCGATGGATGGATGGAATGAAACTCATCCTCTTCTTCAGTGATGATACAGATGTGCTGCTGATAATTCTGGGCGACCCAAAAGGGGGTCCAGCGGCAAAGGGGTGCTGCAATAGATTTGGGGCAATTGTATTGCAAACGTATTGCGCCGGAGAATTGTATTGCATTGTATTGCAACTAATGTATTGCACGCGAAAATCCAGCAATACACTTGCGCCCCGGAATGTATTGCACGCCCCAAATGTATTGCAACCCCACAAATCTATTGCACCAAACCTATTGCACCACCCCCTTGTCGCTGGACCCCCTTTTGGGTCAACCCGAATAATGATAATGAGAAAGTCAATGGTTGTTGAATGGTTCGAACATGTGTACGCGGCGGCACGCGCATGTGGCCCGCGTGGAATTGTGTGATCGGAATTGTTACCAAACGCATTCCGTAAGATAACGGATCTGCACCGCGATGATATGTGCAAGAGATGACGGGGAGGTTATACTGGCCTGGCTGGCGGTTTACTCTTGGATATCCGGAATTAACCATCGTATGGAACTGGTATGGCCCTCCCTCCCAAACAAAAAAAAAACGTGGGGGACAGAGAGGGCTATGGGTGCGTGTTGTCGGATGGGGCCCCCCGCTCGAATGGGAGCCTCCCCTGGGGTGCGACAACCCGCACCCATACCCGTAGCCAGTCGTCCTCCCTTCGACATCCCATATGGAAATGGGTGTGTGTGTGTGTGTTGTTCGTTCGTCACTTTTTGTACCCACACACATGTATTTCTGTAGGATGCCAGTGGGGCGCATGAGTGAAGTGTGACAGCGGAAGCTGTATAACTGTGGGCTCTTCGGCCTCACATCTCGGACTCAACAGGGTGCCGCAGTCGTAGTCACAGCTGCATGGCGACCGCACACTAATAGACGAGCGCGTTCCACTACTCGCAACAGAACTACTCGCAAATGGCCTGGATCCGCCGCGGGTGATCTACGGTAAAACTCATCGAAACAAACATATGTTTTTCGGACGTTAGCGAGTAGGCACTTTGCGAGTGGTGGAATGCGCTTGGTGAACTGAGGAACTAAGGAACTGTGGCGTTCTCGCATGCCAGCTCCACCGCGCGTTGCAATCCTCCTCCCACCGCTAAATCCTCTCTGCTCCCTCCACGCCTGGCCGGGCACCGTGCCGCGCCCGCCGGGGCCCGTACACTCACGAGGGGCAAAGTTGGGCGCCGCCTCGTCAGACAAGGGCGACGTCCACCTTCGCAGGCAGCTCCCTCTCCCAGACCCGCCTCGAGCTGACCCTCACCCATAGGGACGCCGCGGCCCAGGAATCAGCGCCAGGGCCCCACGGCCGCGGCCGGAGCAGGCCAGGCACCCTGGAGGCCTCGCTCGGCGGCGACGTGTTCGCCGGCGCCGCCCTGCTGATCACGACGACGCTGCGAGAGTGGTCAGCGCCAGGGCCCCAAGGCCGCGGATCGACCACGGCGGCGCTCCAGAGGCGTCGTCCACGCCCACGCACGTGCCCGTGCTTGCGCCGTTGACGCCGCACTTATTTCGTCCCCATCCGCATTCCGAGCACGAGCCGCACGCGATGTCATCGTAGTCGCAGGCCGCGGTGTTCAGCGGGAGCCCACCTGCCACAGAGAGGCCGTTGACTGTCGGCACGGAGGCCACATAATCGCTGGTGACCCCGTCCAGGGTGCCCGAGGATGGGCAACTCGCGATGCTACGGTGGCAAGACACTCCACTGGGGCAGCAGCCCCGGAAACACATCGGTGTGTTAGGGAAGTACTCAGAAGTGGGCGACGAGCAGCCCGGTGCGTCACAGCTAGTGCCGTCGTTGTATTGGCCAAGTGTATAGTACCTGTACACGAAGTCGTCGATGGTACCGTCGGCACTGTAGTATCCGCCGCAATCGTCGGTGCACACGTCTGTCCCGTATGTCCCCCCCGTCACGGTGCACGTCTGCATCATCGTACCATTAGGACCGCGGGGACCATAGATCGGGAAACCGTCGAACGCCCAACCGAGATGGGGAGAGTGGGACGAATCCGTCTGACCCAACTGATTCAACAGACAGCTGGGTGGCACATGGACGTGGTACGATGGACTGCTGGCGCTCGATCCATGTCCTCCGCACGGGTCAAATGTGTTGCCCTCCGCATATGTAGCCGAGGTCTGCCAGCCTGTGACGGTACCGTGGCGAGGGCCACCGTAGGGGGAGTAAAGCATGGCAGCGTTGTAGAAGACGCCGACTTCGCCACCCTTTGCGGAGAGATCGATGTGCGCTGAGGAAACGGAAGAATCGGTGACTGAACCCACAAATGTAGGACTCGCTGGGATCCTGTAGGTTCTGTCTGCATTCACTGCCGTGTGCGGATTCAAGTCGTAGATGGGGTGATTTGGGCAATGATTGGTCACCACCGTGCGCGTGGAACCAAAGACTGATTCCGTGTAGGAGTAATCGGTACCATCCACGGCGCAATCTACCGCCTCTCCGCGCCAAGCCAATACAGCCACGACTGATACTGGTATCGCGACCGCCGCCATGACACGACTGCAGTGCTCCCGCGAAGATGCGCTAGATCATTCAAGCAAGGGCCAGCGACTTCTGCCTCGCCGCAACTCAAAGCGCGAGCGCAGCTTGCTAAAGCCAGATTGGCCACGGAGGGGAGCCCGACTCCTCTTGGGATAAAGAATCTGGCCTTGCACAGCTGTGCTCTAGAGCTCGGAGCTCGTTGGGCCATGGCCGTGGCCGTGGTCGTCGGGCCCCTAGCCCTGAAGCCTCCCACTGGCCCCTGAGCCTCGCCCCAGCCCTCTCGCTCCCCCTGCCCTGTTCGGAGCCTCTGCCCTGGCCCTTGAACCTGCCCCGTTCTTTTCTTAGAGGCCCGGGCCCTGGCCCCTAAGCCTCGCGCTTGGCCGTGGCCGTGGCCGTGGCCTCGCCCCAGCCTTCTCGCACCCCCTGCCCCTGGGAGCCCTTGCCCTGGCCCCTGAGTCTCGCTCCAAGCCGCAGAGCTGTTCTTTTCGCGGTGGCCGTGGCCATGGCCGTGGCCTTCGGGCCCCTGGCCCCTGAGCTTCGCCCCGACCCTTGAACCTCGCCCCAGCCCTCTCGTTCCCCCTGCCCCTTGGACCCGTTGCCCTGGCCCTGGGCTCTCGCCCCAGCCCGAGTAGTTTTTGTCCTTCCCTTGTGCTGCAACCTTCTGGAGCTAGGAGACAATTTTTTCCGAGGTGGTCGTCGTCGTTCGCCCCCCTCCCCGGGCCTACCCCTGGCACTCGCCCAAGCCCCCGCCCGCGCTCCTCGTGGCCCCAGAACCCTATATTGTCGTCGTGGTTGTCGTTTGTCCCTCCTCCCCAGGCCTAATCTTGGCCCTCGCTCCAGCCCCTCGCTACCTGATCGTGCAAGAGCCAGGGCGCCCGTGCCACTTGTTTTGGGATGGCGGCAAGGCGGCGATGGGCGGCGACCGGGCGAAAACCTGGGCTGGAGATGCAAGCTAACAACCTGGCGGCGGGGCGGCGACGAGCGGCGACCAGGCGAAAATTTGGACAAACCAGCCAATTCGCCGACACTTCGGCGTGTGCGAGACGTTTCTTCGTCGTCATCGTCGTCGTCGTAGGCGTCGTCGTGCGAATGTCAATGGTAATGTTGACGACCGCTGCTGCCACTCACCCCATCAAGCCTTGTGCTGCCCGGCAGAAGGGTGCAGGTCGACCCGTCCTCGGTCGCCCGCCTCTTCCCCAGTGGGTCTTTTTGCCTGTTCGCACGATGAGCCCCGCCCGCGCCTGCGTGCGGCTGCCAGTGCGACTGCTGGACCCCAGAATGGTCCACCTCCGTGTTGCTGGCCGTCGCGGTGGGCTAGCACGCCACGGGCTTCGCTGGTGGAGGCCGCCCGCAGCCGCCATCCCATTGAAACTAGCGCCGCTGGAGTCGCACAAATGCTCGATGCTGCCGGCTGGCGCGCGCGGCAATCTTGAGGGAGGCAACTGATGTCGGACTATGTATCCCTGGAGGCTGGGCGCCGCTTCTGCGCGCCGTTCGTTCGCGATGAAACAATTTGGCATGAACGACTCGTTTTTCGGAGGACTGCCCACGGGCACGTCATCCTCAGCCCCGACAGGGACGCGCACGACAAGCTGCTGTCCGACTACCCAGACACGCTGCCGAGCGGCGTGGCGGGCGGGGTGCCAAACCGCCTCTCGGGCAACAAGGCGCTGCACTACATCTCCCGCCGCGACGGCAGCGCGGCGGGGAGCGCCCCTCCGCCTGCGGGCCGAGGCCTACGGCCTACCTGGCGGGCCCCACCTCATCTCCGGCGGCGGCCGCAGGCGCGGCCGCGCAGGGCTTCGAGGCCGCCGCTGGGCGCCCGCCCCCGCTGCCGCCTCCAGGAGGGCTGCCGCCCGGGGCCGCGGCCTCCGCCGAGGGGCGCGAAGAAGATCCCGCCTTCTGCGCGCCGGAGGCCCTCGCCGGCCAGCGCCTGGTCGGGGGCTCGCGTTGGCGCCTGTGCGAGACCGAGGGCAGCTGCCGCCGAGGGGGGCCCGTGGTGGTCCAAGCCTCGGACGTTGCCTGCAGCATCTCGGGCCAGGCGCTGCTGCGGCGCGACGGGGCCCGGGCCCGCATCTGCAACGACCCGCCAGCCCCGCCGGCGCGCGACGCCGCGCCGAGCCCCGCGAAGGACATCGGCAAGCTGGAGGTCGCCTACAATCCTCGCGGCGATCGCACTCGCGGCGTTGATTCGGCTCGCAACCAGCTGCGCGAGCCGCTGGACGACGCCCGGCCCGCCCTCACCTCCCTGCTCCTCCACCTCATCCTTCCTCCCCCTCACATTCCTTTTCATGCTCCGCCTCCTCCTCCCCTCCTCCTCCTCCTCCTCCTCCTCCTCCTCCTCCTCCTCCTCCTCCTCCTCCTCCTCCTCCTCCTCCTCCTCCTCCTCCTCCTTTTCATTATCCTCCTCCTCCTTTTCCTTCTCCTCCTCCTCCTCCTCCTTCTCATTATCCTCCTCCTCCTCCTCCTCCTCCTCCTCCTCCTCCTCCTCCTGCCGTTTCTGCCGTTTCTCGCTAGGCAGCGTCTTGTCATGCGCCCCGCGGCGCGGAGCGCGCCGCAGCGGCCCAGCAGGGCCTGCGGGCACTCAGACGGCGGCCCCGGGAACCCGACCCCGAGGGAGAGGGAGGACCAAGGACCAATAATATCACGGAGGGGGAGGAATGGGCCGGGTTTTCAAAAAAAAAAAAAAAAAAAAAAAAAAAAAAAAAAAAAAAAAAAAAAAAAAAAAAAAAAAAAAAAAAAAAAAAAAAAAAAAAAAAAGGGGGGGCCCGACAGGGCCCTCGGGAGGCGCCGCGCGCGCCCGCCCCCTCAGACAGCGCGGCACGGCGCGCGGCCAGGCCGTCGGCCTCTTCGTGGGCCGGCGGCCGCACGGCTGTGGTTCGGGAACCAGAGGTACTGCTTGCCTCCGTAGTACGCGAACCTGCGGTACTCGACCCAGTCGTTCAGGTCGAGGTTGCACTGCCTGACTCTGCGGAGCTCCGAGCTGTGCTGCTCGCCGCAGGCGTGCTGGCTACCGTGGTACAGCTTGGCTCCGTAGTTCACGATCTGTGACATGGCTCGATCATGATGGTCATCAGGGTGATGCCTGGGACTATTATGCAGATCCTGTGGTACTAAAACCAGACATGTTGGTTGGCGTGGTGGTACTTGGCTCGATGGTCCTCAAACTCGCGGTGCTCGACTCATCAATGCTAGTCGCCGTTGAATGCGGGTAGTGGTAGTGGGTAGTCGGTTGGTGGGCTTCGGCTGATAATCAGTTGGTGGGCTGTGGTGCTCGACTCCATCCTGGTGGTCATCGGCTTACTGCATGAAAGTATGGCGTCGATCCTGTGGTACTCGACCCAGTCGCGTTCATTGACGTGGTAGTGCTTGACTCGATGGTCCTCATCATGTAGTGCTCGGCTCAGACGTGCTGGTCGTCGGCGGTGGCGGAGAATGCTGGCTGAGTGGTAGGTCGATGGGGAGCTCCCCCGCCGTTATATCTGCTTTCGTGCGTGCTGGTCAGGGTCGTTGGGCGATCGGCTTGTTGCTGGTGTTGTGATGTGGGGCGTGGGCGCACATATGAGGCCTCGATGCACCGACTTCAAGTAGGGTTCACGGCGGCCCCACCTCGTCCCGCTATGGCTAGGGGTCACGGTGCCCTCGGTGGGGGCGAACCCCAGGCCTGGTGCTTGCTTTTGTCGGTGTGGGATGTCTCGGCTGTCCTGCGCTTCGCCCTGTGGGCGCCCGGGTAGCACCTCCTCCGCCATGGGGATGGTGGGGGTGGCGAGCTAGGGCGGACCGCGGGGGCGCAGGTAGTGGACGTCCTCCCCCCCCCCCCCCCCCCCCCCCCCCCCTGCCCCTCACCATCCCCCCCGGTGGGCGCGGGTAGTACTCGTCCTTCCCCCCCACCCTTCGAGCCCGTCTCGAAGTTTGATCCATGCCTCACCAGGGCAGCGTTGACTTGTAGGTGTCCTGGGGCATACCAGGAATGTGGTAGTGGTCGATGGGTGGTGCGGTATGTTCGTAGCAGCCACCCACCGTCTGGCCAGCTGGTATCCACTGAGTTGTATACGCACGATCAATGCCTGAGTACATACCGCAAAACGTAGCGACTTGTGCCTGGGGTCTTCCCACGCATTCGGGGCTTCCCCAGGACTTGCGTCCTGACGTCATGCAAAACTTGGCGACGCTGCCTGAGGTGTTCCCACGCATTCGGGGCTTCCTCAGGACTTGAGTCCTGACGCCATAGCGCTCGTCGTCGCAGACGCACTTCGCCACGGGCTGCCCTGTAGTACCCGCCGTGGTCGTGCTCGAGCCTGTGGTGCTCGACGTAGTCTTGCTGGTACAGGTGGCCAAGCCTAACTCAGCGGCGTCCGCACCTGTGGTGTTCGGTACCGTCATGCTGGTCGACACGGAGTTGCTTGTTTCCTCAGCGCCTGTGGTACTCGGCTCCCACGTGCTGGCCGAGGTAGCACGGCCTATGCTGCATGCTGATATAGCGCCCAAGCCCGTGGTACTCGAGTCAAACTTGCTGCCCACCTGCTGAGAAACAACATAATACGTCCAATGATAAACTGGGTGCTTTGTTACCTTTGCCCAGGTAGGTATATACGCATCAAAAACATAGGAGCCAATAGTGATACAACCAGTATGAGTACTCGAGGGGAGGCACGCTCCGTCGCCTTTGAGGGATCGCGCCCACCCGTATGGGCGCTACGGCCCCCCCCCTCGAGAATGGCACGCCATCGTAGTCGGTCGGTCCATGGGCCATCGTGTTCTCGGTCGATGTGCACAGCAAAATAGCAAACCGCTCCGTCTTCTGGTCATATTACAAATCCACTGCAAAATATAATTCCACTCGCCAATCAACTGTAGTCCACTGTAATCCATTCGCAATCCATGTCGCAATCCATCTGTACAGCAGAATAATAGTCTACTACAAGACATAAATCCATTCGCAATCAATTGTGCCGTTCGCCGTGGTACTGCCTGCGCCCATGGTCCCGAGCCTGCGGTGCTCCACCCCGCCGTTCTGGTCGATGTAGTACAGCGCGACACTGTAGATGCTGCTAGCGGCGGTGGCTGCCCCACTCCCTGTGACAGTCGTGCCCCAGCTGTTCTGGCTCAATATAATG